TGGCGGGGGGGGGAGTCCCTCCAGTGCCAGAGCCAGAAGCCATCTCCCTGAGGATGGGCAGCCAGGGGGGCGTGGGGAGGAGGGAGCCAGGGCCCCCCACCCTCTCTGTGGCCACAGCCAGGGGCTCCTCACACCTGCCCTGGCACAGTCTCTCTGAGCTGGGCATGGGGGACTTGGAGACTCAGACCCCCAACCCCAAGGAGGTCCTGAGGGTCCCGGCCCAGGGCAGAGAAATCAAGTCAGTCCTGCCCACGGGAAGCCAGGGGGTGCAGGGCCACCTGTCAGAGGAGCAGAAGGAAGAGGAGGAGCCAGCGGGGGAGGCCTCTGGGGATGCAGGGACCCCAGAAAGGTGAGGCGCTGGGGCTGTCCATGGTGGGAGGGCACCCAGGGGGCAGGGGGCAGGGTGGCAGTACCGGGACAGGCCTGGATGTAAGGGAAGGAGATGGACCTGAGATGAGGCCCCGAGTGGGGAGGGCCCTCGGGCGGATGAAGGACTTGTGGGACACCTGGGTGGAGAAGGGCAGGGGTAGGGGAGGGGGGCAAGGGATGGGAACATCAGGGTAGGGAGGAGTCTGAAAATAGAGGCTCAGGCTGGGGAGGAGGCTGAGACAAGCTCCTCCCACAGCTGGGGGCTGGGAGGACAGGGCGAGCAGGCTGGGGGGACCCAGAGGGAATGGGCCCATGGGCTGACTCCCATGCCCCAGCGCCTTCCCCAGGCCCTGCCCCACCCCACCTCCCGGCAGCCATCACCTCTCCTGTCCCTCCCCCCCCTCCTGTCACCCTACTTTCAGGAGGCACACCCCCTCTATGACAAGACCCAGAGAGAGAACAGGGGCTGCCGGGAGAGAGAGGGCAGAGGGCCTGAGCAGACCTACAGGAGTCTTGGGGGAGCTTGGGGGGTGTCTCTGTCACATCTCTGGGCCCACCTGCCTCCCCCACTTGACTGTACTTTGGGACTAGGCGCCACTTTGCCCAGGCCCTGGAGGTGGAGCGAGAACACCTGCAGAGGGCCATGGGGCCCCTGGACGTCAGCCTTGAGGCCCTCGCCAGGGAGCTGGAGCCAGAGAAGGAGTGTCTACTTGACAGTGAGTATGGCACCCACAGACAGAGGGGACATGCCAGAAAGGACCCTTTTCCTCTAGGTTGTCTCAGGGGTGCAGGGCCTGGTAGGACAGGACCCCATCTGAGGGAATCCTGGGGTCAGACTACCTGGGTTCGAGTCCTAGCTCCACCATGCCAGGCTGCGTGAGGGTGGCAAGGTGCCTGGTAGGACAGGACCCCATCTGAGGGAATCCTGGGGTCAAGACTGCCTGGGTTCGAGTCCTAGCGTGGTCACCTATAAAACGTGAGCACAGTAGCACGGAGCTCAGAGGGACGGTCACAGCTGCAATGACGGGCTAGATGCTCTTTGTAAAGTGCCTCGAACTGTGCCTGGCACATAGTAGGCATGTGCTTAAGAAAACAAGGGCGGGACCAGCAAATGGCGTAGTGGTTACGTCACAGAGCTCCTACATAGTTGACTATGGTTCGAGTCCTGGACCCAGTGGCTTCAAACTCTGGTCCCAATGCGTGCGCATGTGTGCCCAACATGCTGAGAGGAGAATGGAGGAGAAGGGATTGCGGCGTGACCATCCCCCCTGGGGGGTGATTTCTCACTTTCTGTCTCTATGTCTCTCTCTGTCTGGTGAGCATACGCGCCCTGTAGCAAAAACCTCTAAAAAAAAAAAAAAAAAAGAGAGAGAAAAGAAAACCAGGCCACCCCACTCTTAGCTCAGCATCCCCGCCCTGTCCCTGTCCCTGTCCACTGGGATGCCCTCCTCCTTGCCACTAGCCCGGCTTGTTAGTGGTGACTACCCCTATGCAGGAGACCTCAGGCTGGCCTCTTTCAATGGAGGATCGACCCCCTGGAACCACCTCCTCACTTTGTACAAGCAGCTTCAGAAGTCGGCCATGGCCAAGGTCCGTGAGTGGGGGGACGGGACGCCTGGGTGGGGGCTCCTCCCACAGGTGGCTGGACCCACTTCCTGGTCTGTCTGGGTGGGGAGAAGGCTGCAGGCCTGGGGTCCCTACTCCCCTCACCTGCTCAGGGTCTTGGCACACCTTCAGTTTCCTCTCATGGAAGACTTGCCCCACGAGGAGGAAGAAGAGGAGACCAAGGAAGAGGACAGCTCACTCGGCCTCTGTGTCCCGGGCACTGCCGGCCTCCAGTCACCCCTGCAGAAGTCTTTTAGTCCCACGGATACAGTGGGTGAGTGCCTCGACCCCACCTCCCCTCCAGGGTGCCCCCAGGCCCAGAAAGCCCCTCTTGGCCAGTGGGTCAGGGTGTTATTCCAGCACTAACCACCAGGTGGTACCACAGGACCTAAGATGACCACTGGAGAAGGGGGCGGGCGTGCGTGTGGCGGGATAAGCCTTACTAGTATCTTCCTCCTTAGGGCTTGGGAGGTCGCCAGGCTGGGGTGGTGACTGGACGTGGGGCTACTCGAGCAGTCCAGCAGCTCCTAACTCTTTCTGTGGTCACCTCTATCCCTGGTTTTTCCATCATGCGCTGCTGTGACAGCACCCCTGAAAGCCCCGATTCCCAGTGCCCTCCCCCCGATGGAGAACAGCTGGTTCAGTGGTCATAAGGTCATAGGATTAAAAACCGGCCTTACGGGAACCGGCAGTTAGTGTAATGGCTGTGTCGCTGGACTCCCATGTAGTGGACTGCGGTTCGAGTCCCAGACCCAGTGGCTTAAACTCAGGCCAGGTGCATGTGCGTGCGTGCCCAAGATCCCGAGAGGAGAATGGAGGAGAAGGGATTGCGGCGTGGCCATCCCCTTTCTCGCTCTCTGTCTCTCACACCCTATAGCAAAAAAAAAAAAAAAAAAAAAACCCTCTCAAAAAAAGTTGCATTTTGGGACCAGCAGCTAGCATAATGGCTATGTCGCTGGACTCCCATGTAGTGGACTGCGGTTCGAGTCCCAGACCCAGTGGCTTAAACTCAGGCCAGGTGCATGTGCGTGCGTGCCCAAGATCCCGAGAGGAGAATGGAGGAGAAGGGATTGCGGTGTGGCCATCCCCCCTGGGGGGTGATTTCTTGCTTTCTGTCTCTCTGTGTCTTTCTGGAGAGCGCACGCGCCCTACAGCAAAAACCTCTCCAAAAAAAACCCGAACAAACGGTTTTTAGCCCTTCTGTGGGCTAGCCCCTTTTCCAAGCACTTTTCACAAAGTATCTCATTGAACTCCGAGGCTATTATTATCTCTATTTTGCTGCGTGGAAACTGAGGCACAGAGAGGTCAGCCATTTACTCAGGCTAGCAGGGGGTAGAGCAGGACCGTGAATGAAGGCAGTCTGGGTTTCGGATCCGGGCGTTTGAGTTGGCGACCGGAGGGGGGCCAGATATCTGCCCCTCGAACGTGCTCGCCTGAAGGCAAAGACTCACTTCACATCCTTCAGGAGGAAGCCCATGGCAAGCGAGGAGGCAGGCGAGACAGAGAGGAGGTGCCTGACCGCCTCCCAGTCATTGAAGAAGACAGGGCAATGGCCGCGGGGTGACCCGGGGTTGTAGGGAGCTGGGGCGAGGTTCGGAGTGGTTGCGCCCTCCTCTTCCTCTACCCCCACACGTCCCACGCCCCTCTCTCCGGACCTCAGGTTTCGTGCAGTCAGAGCTGAAGAACCTTCTGGCAGTACAGCGAGAGTCAGCCCTTCACTTCGGACTAGAGAGATTGAAACAGACCTCTTCTCTCTGCCATCCTTGGGGTCCAGGGCCAGGGGACAGAACACGTCCCAGCAGCCCTGGTGACATCTACAGGCAGGAGGGGTGTGAGAGCTGTTGCGAGGCTCGTC